GTTTAATTGGCTCTTAGACAGTTTACAAGAGTTCAGAAAATCCCATGACAATTTGAGCCCTGACGCATGAGGACAGAGATCTTCACACACCTGTTGCATGTTTACACGGCTGCTGACTGCTACAGACTTCAGTCGACAACAAATCAGTAAAAAAATATATACCTGTAGGTGATGCTATATATATGTAAGGGACAATCCACAGCTAGCTGTGCATTAAACAATTTTAATGCATGATGTGGAGGCAAAGAAGCACCCGACGCGAAGCAGACTGTAATTACCTGCATCTGTGCGTCTCTCTCTACAAACAATGAAGCTGTGAGTTTAGTTACTGCTTTACCTCCTCATTGCTGAGACATGTAGTGATTCAGTATCAAAGTTATTTTATTAATAAAAGTCGTGGGGCAGCGCTGACAACAAGTTTATGTGCTCCTGGATGTTTCTCTGTGTGCGAGTGATGGGTGTGTGTGTGTGTGCATTAATTAAAGCAGTGCATTAATATAGAACAGTGATTAAACAGACTTGAATCTACCTGTGCATTCATTGGTTTTAATGCATACCTGCTAGCCAATCAGAATAGAGTATTCAGACAGACCATGTTATTAATATATATATATATTCCAGTTTAATACGCATAGACAGCTTATTCTATGCATATTAAAATTGCAATTCTGTTTGGTGACACTAATGCTGCTAAAATATTATACACTTCAGATTACTTAGTTACTACAAGTATAAATGTGATTTATAAAATATTTTAAAAATTTGAGCATTTTTTTTTATTACAAAAAACCTATCAAACTTTAAATAAATAAATACAAATAACAGCCAACACTATAAATGTTAAAAATTTTAAATAAAATTTAAAAAAACATCGTTTAATGGCCATTTTTTCTGTTTTGCATTTTATGATTACAAAAAAAATGTCAAGAAAATATATTTATTTGTAAATGAACAACATTTTGCTAAAATTGTTTACCAGTTTCAAATCAAATTTCACACATATAATAGTTCAGTGAAATGAGGTACATAAATTTGGCATGAAAGCAGGAGAACTGACATGTATTACTTAAGAGAGCTACAATAAAACAGAAATGAATAGAAATAGATGTGGAGATGGGGTGGTGGAGGGATGCCGAATGACCTGTCACATCACAGGTGAACAATGTGATAACCTGCACATTTAAAAAGGTTAAATATGACCTTGGAGCACAAAAGCAGTCTTAAGTCTCTGGGGTATATTTGTAGCAATAGCCAACTATACATTGTATGGGTCAAAATTATACATTTTTCTTTTATGCCAAAAATCATTAAGATATTAAGTAAAGATCATGTTCCATGAAGATATTTTGTAGATTTCCTACCGTAAATATATCAAAACTTAATTTTTGATTAGTAATATGCATTGCCAAGAACTTCATTTGGACAACTTTTGGACATTTTTTCCAGGGTCACAAATGGTTAAACAATGTTTAATATTATTGTTTTGAAGTCTATTTTGTAATGCATTCTCAGAGGTAAGTTTACAGTGTGAATTTGTTTTTGTGGCATTCAAATGAAACCGTGACCACTTCAGAAATCCCCCATTCTTCTCACACATGTGAATGCCAGTGTGCTGACACATGCATTACTGTTTACTACACGCTGATTCACATTGAATGAAACAATCAGTTGTGCATTGCTTATGTCTAAATGTGAACGATCAAAATGCTTGAGGTCTGATGCTTTCAGTTCAGCATCTGTATCAGTCATCTCGACACACTCAAGTTAAAGAGAACAAGTGCTCGTTGTTTGACAACAAGTGTGCAGCCGTTTCCTTTCACAAAACCCCACAAACATTCCCATCTGAGTGCTTTTCATCGAGAGACGCCTCGTCCACACCCAGATATGTTCGTCTGTGACAGTGAAGGATTGCTCCGACAGCTATTACAGGCGTCTACTGACGATCTCAAACCACACCTCTCGCTTTAGTATGAGAAATGTAACATACGTCAATGCTAATTACAAAACTTTTCTAGTATAGCTCTATTACTAATCTATCAAACATTTACAGCTTAAAAGCAATGTATAAAGCAATAGAGTGCTGCGGTTATGACATATGTGGCCCTGGAGCACAAAACCAGTCATAAGGGTCAATTTTTTTAAATTGAGATGTATACATCATCTGAAAGCTGAATAAATAACATCCATTGATGTATGGTTTGTTAGGATAGGACAATATTTGGCCGAGATACAACTATTTGAAAATCTGGAATCTGAGGGTGCAAAAAAAATCTAAATATTGAGAAAATCATCTTTAAAGTTGTCCAAATGAAGTTCTTAGCAATGCATATTACTAATCAAAAATTAAGTTTTGATATATTTACGGTAGGAAACTTACAAAATATCTTCATGGAACATGATCTTTACTTAATATCCTAATGATTTTTGGCATAAAAGAAAAATCTATAATTTTGACCCATACAATGTATTGTTGGCTATTGCTACAAATATACCCCAGCGACTTAAGACTGCTTTTGTGCTCCAGGGTCACATATTTTTGTAGACCAACCTGGAAGTTCACATCACCCTGGTTTCCTCAACAAAAACCTAATAGGATTTTCCATTGGCTTTTGGATTACTGCAGAAAAAAAGCTCTGTGATCAACAAAAGATTCTTGCACAACAAAATGATTCTTACACATTTTGTTCATCATGATAATGAACGATATAATGATAATGAACTATGATAATGATAAATTAACTATACCATGGTCACGTGACTTCAAACATTAATATTTGACAAGTCTTTGAGTCTTCATTCAATTTTAATTAACCATTTCCTTAAAAGGTTTGAGTTAGAATAGTTTGCGAGAGCGAATCATAGCCACAAACCTTATTTTCAGCATTTAGCTAAAAATGTATTTAAAAAACCAATTGACTTTGGGACGATGGAACTGGAAGTGCTAAAATGCCAACTTGTTTTTTTGTTTTGACCTACAAAAATGTCATCCCTGCAGCACGTGTGCATTTAAATGTGTTTAAAAGACAAAAAGCTTTCAAAGACACAGTAATACATGGTTAAATCACCCACTGAATGATAATTAAAAAAAAAATAATAATAACGTGTTCATCAGTAGTTGATGCAATGTTGAAATGCTGAGAAAACACGTCATAATATTGAAATTATTCTGTGTGGCCTCTCAATTATCTGTGTAATTATAGTCACCTTACTAATGACTGGTCTTTGCGTGAATGTCCACAAAACTGAAGACTCTCTGCATGTGTTACGTTAGAAAGGAACATTTAAAAGGAATGCTTTTGCTATTGTTTGAATAATATAAAATCAACAATGTAATCAACAAAAAGTAACTGTAATCTGATTACAAAATGTACAAGTACTTAATTTTTGCAATCTGATTACGTAATCCAGATTACATGCAATCAGTTACTGCGAATGTTTAGTATTTAGGGTTTGTTGAAAAGGAAGTCTCGGAGATCAGGACTCTTTCAGATGAGCAAATTTACCTTCACACTGAGGAATTCCAGCGATGCTTTATAACCGGCTCCTCGTGAAAACTCACTTTTACAGGCAGTTACCTTGACAGCACGTCGTCTATGGAGTTACAATAGTCCACTACAAACATCCACATTCACTTAATAACTTCTATATAGTGTTCAGCTACTTGTCCCACACTGACGAACAACAATGTGAAGTATTGCACTTAGCGAATCATTGACATATTATAGATATCGTAACAAAATTCACACAGCAGTAAAATACAGCCATCAGTTCTGATTTAGATTGTTAAATATGGTTTCGCTCATGCACCGTTCAGTTATTAACCAGACAGCCTTACATTTTCAGGAGCACAAGCACATTTTCTGTAAATGCTGTCTGTTAATCATCAAATCTCATTAAAAACTGAGCGTGGAGGTTGCTTTGTCATTGTAAAATGTTGTGTGAACACCTCTTAGAGAGAAGGTGGAAAATTATCATGAAAAACATTAATATGCATGGACTTCTGTGACACGATAAACACTATGCATGTACAATATGGTTAATTTAAAGCTTAATATTTGATACTAGGAGGAAGTTTATGCGTTCTTATTTGAAAAGCGAATATTAAGCTATCAAACCTGCAAATTGTCTGTCAGATCAAGGAATGGTTAAAACACATTCTGTGCCAAAAAGACCAGAATTCAGAAACTCCTCGGGCTATTTTCTTTATTATTTTGCTTATGTTTGTTTTTTCCTGAAGAAAGATACACATAAATAGTAATGAAAGCCAAAATATTGAATGTCATGGATGTATATTTACTGAGTAATCCACTGTTTTGTAGAGGGGCATCAAAAAGCCAATTTTCACCTGCGATTTGGAGCCAAATTACCGGGGGGTAAAAATGACTTTAGAAAGATGGCAGCATCGTTATTTTATTTTAACACAGAGATTGGTAGGTCTATTAGTAAAATCTGTTGACTTTAGCAATATTTGTTGCATTATATGCCAATGGTCACAGTCCAAAAATGAGGAAAAAGCACTTTTTGAGTTTTTTTTTCCAACGTTTGCATGGCTATAACTCAAGAAGTATTAAAGATACCTTAATATCATTTTAGGTTTTACTAATAGACCTACCAATCTCTGAGTAAAAATAACATCATGATGCTGCCATCTTTCTAAAGTCATTTTTACCACCCTGTAATTTGGCTCCAAATCACAGGTGAAAATTGGCTTTTTGATGCCCCTCTACAAAACAGTGGATTACTCAGTAAATATATATCCATGACATTTAATGTTTTGCCTTTCTTCTTCATTTACATGTTTCTTTCACTAGAAAGAAAATGATCAAAATCAATATTTTTAGAGAGGACCTCTGGTTGAGTTAACACAGAATGATGAGGGTGTGTGTATGACGTCTCCAAAGATGATTAATTTAAACCCACTGAGCAATTCAGAAACTATGTCACGCAGCACACCTTGTAGTGTTCAAGAAAGCTCAATTTGCTCCGTTTAACCATCTTACCGACAGCTTGTTGTCGTAGAAGAAGGCATCGAGCAGTTTGACGATGTACTGATGGTTGCAGGACGCTAAGATGTCGATCTCCACCATGTAGTCCTCCAGCTCCTCTTCACTTTTGGTTTCGATGACTTTGGCTGCAGCTAGTGCACCGGTTTCTTTATTCTGGGCCTGAAAAACAAACCAGTTCACATCAAAACAAAGTCAGGGTGATTCACATGATTTTCCCGTTCCATGCTCGTCCCTTGGGTGCAGTTAATTCACCAGGCCTCTGGGATTCAGCTTTAGTTCTCCATTAGACCTGAAATAATGGGCATTACTGCTGTTGATGAGGCGACAGTGGACTTAATGCAGCCATTGATAAAGGTTTGATGGGTGTTTGAAGGGGAAGGAATGGGGGGACATTTTATATTTAGATTTTTTTTTCAATGCAAATAAGAATAATAATAATAATAATCTACTTTAAAATAATTTGTCAAGTTTTTATAAATGTGGGTCAAAGACGAAAAAGGGTTTAAGCATAAAAACAATAAGTGTAATACTGCTTTAAATTGTTGTTTTTCCCCCAAAAAATAAAAAGGTTTTCTGTTTAATTTAATTTTGTTTTTGTTTTTCCGAGTAAAAAATTAATATCATACATTTTCCCGATTTACAGAAGACACCCACTAAAATGTAATTCAGTATAACAATCTTGTCAGGCGTATTTACAACAAAAATCAGTTTATAACATATTAAAAGACGAATTACTTTCACCCCAAATACTAATTAGCTGTAATTTTACATTTTAAAAATTTGCCACTATCCTAGGTTTTGCCCATTTGTCAGTAAGAATTTTGTACTCATTTAAAACACAATACAATTTTAATATGCTCCCTTATTCTTTTATATATTTTAATATGTACAAGTCAGAATAAGCATGTTTGCATTTTTACATAAATATTGTGTTACACTGAATGATAATGTAACATTAATTCAACCAAATTTTAACATTTTATTCTCCAAAAACTTATTTGAAACCTTAAAAGCATATTACTAATCAAAAATTAGTTTTGATATATTTACAGTAGGAAATTTACAAAATGTCTTCATGGAACATGATGTTTACTTAATATCCTAATGATTTTTGGCATAAAACAAAAATCTATAATTTTGACGCATACAATGTATTTTTGGCTATTGCTACAAATATACCCCAGCGACTTAAGACTGCTTTTGTGCTCCAGGGTCACATATATTATTACTCATTTTTATTACTCTGGCATATCTGATTTTGTCAGCCCAAGCACTTCCTCCCCGCACCCCATTTATTGTGTACTTTTTATGCACTTCCAATGTAAATGTTAACTAAATAAATGTATATAGTAAAACAGAGGTAGTCTTCACGTGTGAGATTTGACAGCACGGTGGGAAACATGTTAGTATGCAGCGTTACTCGAGGTGGAGTCGGTCATTGTGGTAAGCTGAGCATGTTTTTAGAGGAAACTGCGTTGCCAAACCACTCAAAAACAAGAGTTCCGCTTTTTTCATAAAAACTCAACTTAAAGCAGACATGATTTGGCACCACTAACAGACAGTTAGACTTGTATAAGTGTAACTGTGATAAAATGTAATACAGGAGAGAATGAAAGTAGAACAGGCTGAGATGGTTGACATTGTCAGTGGTTGCCATGGCATTGCTATGTGGTTGCTTGGGTGTTTCCGGTGGTTGCTAGGGTCATGCAGAGGAGTCAAACTGTGCAAATGGAGCAGATGAGTCACACGCTGATGTGATGCTTGACCTAGTAAACACAACTAACTTACATCTGTCTTAACCTCTGTTCAATAAAATAACCGGAAAAGAAACTCTACAGCCTCTGAATATGAAGAACTATCTCAGAAGACCTCTGTAATTATTGTTTTAACGATGTGTGAGCTGACATTAGAGTATGTCACTCAAAAAACAAACAAAAAAAAAAGTCCATAAGCATTGAATGCATGATGAAACTAATTAGAATGAAGTTTGAATGTCCCTATTATGCAAGTTATGAAAGCAAAAAATATCCCTGCATGTTTTTTATATATATATATATATATATATATATAAGATATGATATAGTTTAGTAATATCACACAAGCAAGTGCTGTTTTCCCGAATATCAGCACGCGAGCGTGATCGCAAATGTTGTATTGATTTTATACAACAGTTCAACAAACAAAAAGTTAAAGTTGAGTGAGTTATATTTTAGACACAATATTTTCCATTTTTGGCCAATGAAAACACTGCAGTGTTTCACTCCTGAATGAATCTGTTTTTGAACGAATCATTTGAGTCAACGATTCAATGATCCATTCATAAAGACAGCTTAATTTCTAAATGAATCAGGCATTTTGAACAAATCGTTTGAATGAATGATTCAATGAATCACTCACTAAGACAGGGATTTGCCAGCAGGTTTTAATGTCATATTTATTTATCTATGGCAGGCCTAAACCAGTCAAAAACACAAATATTATTTGCTGAAAATGAGATTGAAGATATGAACGTCACTAGTGTTTGACTAGCTGACATGTATCAGCGCTGTGCGACTGAAAAACACTCCTAGCCTCAAAGAAGCATAATAAATCCACTTACATTTCCACTGAGAGGATTACAGCACCTGCTCAAGGGGATCGAGGAGAAGTCAAAGCTTTCACCTGAGCTAAATATCCTGCAAACCCTCAATAACAGCAGAATAGTGTACTTTCAGTCCATTTCAACACATCCATAAACAGGACACCCCTCTGTTTACATCTGGAAACAGCACACCTTCAGGATAACACTCAAGCTCTTGAGGAAGCCCTTATCTTTCAGCAGATAAATCTTACTTTTCATTTAATTATTCCAAAGGCTGGTTTTATCAGCAGGTAGGTCTTACACAAGTCAACAGATTGTGTCAGAATTACCATAATTATGAAAAGTTTCTACTCTGAGCTATTCTTGGAAACTATGCATTAGCCTTGTTAATGATGACAGCAAAAAACATAATTTATTACATTAATTCATCTCTTCTTCCTTTTGCAAAATTTTGAACAAGGAACCCACTGACTATAATAAAATGGCAAAAGCAAAGCAAATCAATGCGCCTAGGTTACCTCATATAACTAGCTTTAACGTTTGAAGTAGATGTAATTTTGATTGGTTGTACACTGGTAAAAGAAGTTGTCATCATGTAACTCTTGATTATAAAAGCAGGCGAAGAGCTTTTTAAAAAATGAGTTTCCTACAAGAACAAAAAAAACTTGAAGAGAATATGACATGATGTTAATGTAGCAAGAAATGTCTATATGTAAATCATAATTTGTGGGTGAATAACTTTCAATAAATTTCGTAAGGAAATCACATCAAGATTACGTTATGTGATCAACAACTACCTGCCACGGGCCAAAAGTATCAAACAGATATAAAACCAATGGAGAAAATGGAAATATTTGATGATTATTAAGAAAGGAAGGTCATAGAGGACTTTGCAATCAACAAAAATATTGAGTTGCTCTCAATACAGAATTACATTAATGACAGAACCAGATCTTTAATCATAATTTCAGTCATAAATTTCAAGCTATTTGTCTTTGCAACAAACATAACTGATTGATTTGTGTTGTTTTTTTTATTTTTCAGTTTGCTCGTTTAAGTGTAACTCCACTGCACACAAAATCTAGGAAACAATTTTCACTCAGTGCTAGTAAATTTCACAAATAATTACAAAGTAATGGCAAGTAATTGAATTCAACATGAAATATTTAAGAAGAAAGACTGAAATAGTAATTCTTGTAATCTTTGTTTTATTTACAACCTAAAAAAATTACAGTGTAGTTTAACTAATTGCCCCAAATGAGCATTCAAAAAAAATAATAATAATAATTTTAAAAATACTGTTGGATCAGTTTAACGTTATTAACCTTTCATTCTTACACAATAAGCTGAGTAACCTTGTGCCTCAAACAATATTAGCTTTAAACAAAAGCTAAGCCTTGGACTCACTGCCATTATCTTGAGTTTATTATGATGAATAGAGCCAATTCAGTAAAACCGAATGACTAAACGAAACTAAAACTATTTCTAAAGAACAGCGTGACAAATATACAAATACTAGTGTGTCTGATTATCCCTCAGTCTTAAAGTTCAATCAGTGGCTTAAATGGTTTCAACCAATTGTGAAACTACAAATAATAATGGACAGAAACAATGAGGCCTTAGTGTGGATGATGATGCAGTTGATCTAATATGTAGAATGTGCTCATGTCCACCCACAGTGAAGACGCTCTTATCTTTCTGAAGCCAGCAGCACTGAACGCTGGTGATTAGCCGAGCTCACGTGATCTCAGACTTCACAAGCACTACAGGATCATCGTCACACACGTCAAACTTTACCCTGACGGGCATTCGGGTTCACCTCCACATGTTCTCCATCAATAATTAACGATCAGAGAACTACTCAGCATTAACTAACAGGAGAAAACCGGAGGACTCCTCTTCAAAACACCATCAGAGAACGCATGAAATTTGGCTGAATTCAATTCAGTTATTTTGGTGCGATTCAAGAGTCAAAATCAAATACATAAAATGTTGGATTTATGTATTTGAATAGCACATATAATTTCCATCCACACTGAAAAAACAATCATACTAATTTTTTTTTTTTTTTAAGGTAAGTGGTTGCAATCAATTTATTTTAGCTACATTTAAATAAACTAATTTAGCTGACTAACTTTTAGCAAAATTTGTTTATTTAAATGTAGCTAAAAAAAAATGATTGCAACCACTTACCTTAAAAAAATTAGTAAATTCAATGAATAATTTTTTTTTCAGTGCATTTGGATTACACAGTTTTAACAAACTAATAAACGTAATGTAATGCAAATTTGTCAGCCATTCATAAATTAAACAGCGAAGAAATATGTACAATTTCTGTTATAGTACTAATAAACTGAATGTGTTTTAAATACACAGTAAACAGGTGTACATATTTATCATCAATCACATACATTAAAAACTAATTGAATATTGCTTGTTCCACAGCTAGACATATTTTAGCCATGTTCATATTTGAATAACTGGTTTAAAGTGAACAGATTCTAATGCATTTTGAATATGATGTTTAAATAAAATAAAATCAATGCAAGCTATTAATAAATGTTTTTGAGTGCAGAAATCTGACCTGTTTCGTTTATATACTGTATGACTTACAAATATGCATCACATTAAGTTTATTAGCTTATGTTATTACTGTGTAATATAAATAGATATGCAATTCAAATACATAAATCTTACATTTAGGATTAAAATTTTAAATGTAATATCTTAAACATATTTTTGATGAATCACATCGAAATATCTGAATTGAATTCAGTCGAACGGTGGCCAGATTTCACACGGAATTCAAATTTTTGCAAATACTTCCACCCCCATTTAAACAACGTTATAAATAGGCCTAAATATTTTTAGTGTATTTTTAAAAGACATCAAGAATGCATTTTCAAACCTGATGTACAAAGAGAGTAAACAGACCACAGATGATGTCTTGCGATCACTTCTATTGGAAGACCAAAAATAAAAACAAAATACCTGGCCATATTGTGTCTGAAATACGATATTCACTTTTTGTTTATGGAAATACAAACTTCCATAAACGAGTAGCACGAGAATATGCAGAATTTTCGGATTGAGCTCCAAGTTCTTTTGCAGCTAGACTGCATATAGCATATTTGTGACCCTGCAGCACAAAAGCAGTCTTAAGTCGCTGGGGTATATTTGTAGCAATAGCCAACAATACATTGTATGGGTCAAAATTATAGATTTTTCTTTTATGTCAAAAATCATTAGGATATTAAGTAAAGATCATGTTCCATGAAGATATTTTGTACATTTCCTACCGTAAATATATCAAAACTTAATGTTTGATTAGTAATATGCATTGCTAAGAACTTAATTTGGACAACTTTAAAGATGATTTTCTCAATATTTAGATTTTTTTTTGCACGCTCAGATTCCAGATTTTCAAATAGCTGTAGAGGCGAGAGGTCAGAAATACCAATATTTTTGGACTAAAATGTTAATCTTTAAACACTATTTCGATAAAATGCATGCTTATGAATAATTATGTCTGAAATAATTGCTTTATGAGTATTAGTTACATAGATTAGCAACAGAAAACCTACACTGTTTTTGTTTTTTTAAATGTATTGTCATTTGTTTTGCTCCATTATTAGAGTAATAAGGAAGTAACATTGTCTAAACCGCAAATGTGTGTAAAAACTAAATCCCCCGTTCACGTTCACAGGACGTTGTTTCATAAAGCCACGTGCATCGACACGTAAAAAATGATGACCCGATCTGCACTTTGAGATCCTGATCATGATTAATCTGTACCTACCAAACTGAGTGTTATTACACTTATGAAGCAGGACCAGATGATTGAGTTGTTCTTAGCGATTTCATTTCTTGAGTTTCTAAAGGACAGCACGTTGCACAATATTAGACTCATGTTCTGTTCTCATTACACAATCACTCATTCATAACTCTGACATATTTCCTTTTAGTAGATGAATCTGCTGCTTCCAGAACAAAACTTCCTTTAGTGGCACTCAAACTGATTTTTACATTATATTTATGCTATACATGTATTGGTATCGTATGTTACACAAATACATCATAATTTATACATTCTAACTCTAACAAGGAAAAGTTTGTTAATTGGACAACACAAAAAATTTAAAAAATAAATAGCCTACATAAAGAAAATAAAGACCATTTTAGAATTATTTAATATTACTTTGAAGCTCAATCCAACAAAAATAAAAATGCATTCTCATTACTGTAAAGTACACTGTGTGTAAATGTGCATAAAGCAGCTCAAATAGATAAATCAAGAGTACTGTAACATAAAAGATCAATGATCATTTGCTTTGTGTATCTGTGTCAATAAGAAGGCAAATTGCTTAAACCATGCTTTCAGCATTACATTTGCATTTAAATTTTACAACTATTGATGCAAATGTATTTAGAGATAAAAAATAAATAAACTTTGCAGATATAAACAAAAAAAAATTGTATTAGAGCATAAAAATAAATGAGAATCTAACGAAAATTACAACTGAGAGTTGCTTATTTCCGAGAATTTCAAACAAAGTCAAAATAAAAAAATGTGTTGACGCATTACAATCACGAGAATGCTCATAGATGCATGCTAAAAATATAGATATTTACAAACTGTACGGTCTCAAAAATAAGCTCAGATTAATTAATGCAATTTCTTTTATCATTTTGGATGGAGAAATGGCCAGAGCATGTTTTCATGAGATTTGCCTCATTGCAGTATTACTCCACTGTGAAAGCTGTCTTTGTTAAGGTTGTATTTAACCCCAGTCCGCCTGGTCTCTGAGGGCGAGAGGGCCGCAGTGACCCTGGATCTCATGGGGCCCCATAGTTCAGGACACCGTGTTGGGGACAAAAGGCAAATTCAGCGTTTCCTACACTAGGGTTCCTCTCCGCCTACCGAAACTGCAGCACATTCCAGTATCTTCCTACACAGTGACTCTGAGTGGCCCCTGAGGGCCCCGGGCTGAATGCATGTGACCTGTCAGGATATCTAACATTAACATTAACCACAGTTATGCTAGTACAGTTAAACAGTTAGTCAAGATGGTTTCCCTAAGGGTTGCATTACTTCATGTCACGTCAATGCATATCACCAGCATGTTATTACATGAAATACTGAGCTGCACTGCAATCCATTCAGTCAAGTGTGCACTTGAATTGAAGTGTTATGAGTCTCTTGGCTCATAGTTTTTTAATTTAAATGAACACACTGTTTTATAAATGTAAATAAAGAATTCTAAGACAGAAAAGTTTAATAATTTGTTTTGTGCATATATGTGTTTAAAAAAATTTAAAAGTGCGACAAAGTGTGTACATAAGTGTCAATAACAAGACAATTCTTAGTATTTGTAGATATTATATGTTCTCGGCATGAATTATCTACATGTCATAACCAAACAGGTTGCCAATTATTAAAACTTTTTAAAATCCTACTACGCTCAAGGCATAGTTTATGAATATTGATTACGTAACTGACGTTCACCAAGCAGGCCTCACTGATTGGCTGAAAGACAGCTACCGGGAGAGCGGCAGCGAATCAGGTAGAGGCCTACCTTATGAATATTAAATATTCTAATTAATATAGACTGCAACGTCAACAAGACCAAATTAATATTCATGCACAAATCTTTTACCATGGTAGAAGTCGTAGTTTCGTTTCGCTGCCCAACAGGTTTATTACGGTCCGAACTCACCTTATAAACTTTGCCGAAAGCGCCGTCGCCCAGTTCCCCGATAATTTCCCAAATGTCGTTAGGATTAACATCCCGATGAACGTGCTCATATTGTTTGGTTTTCTTCTTCACGTCAATTGTAGGAAGACGGAGGATCTTGCTAAATTTTGCAAAAGCCATTTTAAATAAAACAGACAGCGGGCTCAAATGCTAAAAAACAGATGATGAATTAGTTGACTTCAGAAAAAAACAAAAGCGAGTGAGCTGAAAACTGTCCAACACTCCACGGAAGTAGACACATTCATCATTATAAAAAATAAAATAAAATAAAAAACATCAAACTGTGATGGACTGGTTCCACGCCATCCACGAGCAAGCGACTGAAGCTCTCATGCTCACCTGTTCACTCCATTTATCTGAAATAAAAAGCTTTTTTAACATTATACACTATACCATTCAAAAGCTTGGAGTCACTATATATATATATATTTTTTTTTTTTTCAAAAATGCAATAAAATGTAATTCATGAATAAATATATATTCTATGATAACATTATATGATAATGTTTTAAATTTCTGAAATATTTTTTTATTTTTTTATGTTTTTAAAAGTAGCCTAATTTATTTTTGAAATATTTCTAAGACTTGAAAAATTCTGTCCATCAATCAACCATCAACTCACATTGGCGTAACCAACCAACATGCAGGATACTATTTTACTATCACAAAAAAAAACATTGAAATTATGAAAAAATAAAAAATAACATTTTTTTTTTCATAATTTTCAACCCGGACAAACAACCCTTTAATGAAACAGGCACCCAATTAAAGCACAGACAAGCAAAAGTTTAAACTTGATTCCATTGAAAATAAATAAATAAATAGCATTTAAAAAATAAAATTACATTTAAAATGAAAAAAATTATTCATTAATCACGTCAATTGTAGGAAGACGGAGGATCTTGCTAAATTTTGCAAAAGCCATTTTAAATAAAACAGACAGCGGGCTCAAATGCTAAAAAACAGATGATGAATTAGTTGACTTCAGAAAAAAACAAAAGCGAGTGAGCTGAAAACTGTCCAACACTCCACGGAAGTAGACACATTCATCATTATAAAAAATAAAATAAAATAAAAAACATCAAACTGTGATGGACTGGTTCCACGCCATCCACGAGCAAGCGACTGAAGCTCTCATGCTCACCTGTTCACTCACTGCTGCTGTGAGTCCGAGGCACAGAGCCACGCCCACTGCACGAACCACGCGATTCTGGGATTTGTAGTTTTAAAGCCCATTTGTGCCTCATCAGAACTACAGGAGCAAACCATTTTAATGAATTTTCATTCATCTTAATAGTTGTACTTAACAATGATATTTTAATAATATAGTCAAGACGCACAGAAAAAAACAAAAACAAGGAACAGACCAAATCTCTGAGTTTAAAAATAAATAAATAAACACATTTGCACACCACCTCCACCTAGTGGTAACATGTGGTAACAGACAAGCAAAAGTTTAAACTTGATTCCATTGAAAATAAATAAATAAATAGCATTTAAAAAATAAAATTACATTTAAAATGAAAAAAATTATTCATTAATAAAAAAAAATCAAATAAACGCTTGACAGTGACCTTTTTTGCGATGATGATATAGAGTTGTCTGATCATCTAGATCCTGCACTTTCCTGGTGTACGCACTTCTCCGTTCTCTCAGCAGAGACAGACACGAGTTCATAGTGAACATTACACAAGCGCTCTGTCATCACAAAGAAATATGCATGACAATACAAGACAACTGACATCTTTTTTAGCAGACAAATACTGGAGGTGAGAGGAATGAACTCAACTCTCATAAAAACAACACCATGAAATGTCACAAAAAATGCATCATTTTCTTCACATAATATGTTTATTATTATTATTATTATTATTATTATTATTATTTGCTCTTGAGGTGAAATCTGGCCTAGACATTTCTTCATGAGATTCACCAGTTTCATTTTACAATTCACTTTCTTTTCACTTTCCAGAACCTTTTCACTTAAAATGTGAATGTCAACATTATTTGTCATAGCTTTGTCTCTCGAAGGCTGCTAAAACACTATTGCTTGTGGTTGCTCGGCCAAGCCTTGTCAGAATATGCCACGAAACTGTTTTGCACAAAAAAGTACATCATTTGAGATGTGGTGGAAATGACATTTGTTCATTATAATCCAGGAAATAAATAAATAAATGAATCGATCACAGAACTCTTCTGTGTTGCATGCATGTAAAGTAAGTACATAGAGTGCAAAAAGTGTTTTCTACAGGAGTTTAATTCGTACTGGGCCCAAAAGTCTCCATAACTGAAGAAACACCACTCCCACAGAATACTGAAAGAAAGAAAGAAAGAAAGTCGTGTTTTATCTACATCTCCTGTAGCATCACTGCATTCCCTGTTGTTTGTGGAGGATGTAAATTCTTGTTGAAGGAGAAAAACAGTATAATTTATTGATAAATCAACATATATAACCTGTTGTTTTTTTGTTTTTTTTCATTTTGAGAGTATTGACAGCAAAAATGCTGCTATAAGTCAGGCCAGCCTTCTTGTCAATATCAAATAACACTATAGTTCAAATTATAATCAAGTACTTAGCATGTGCATAAGTGTACTTAATTAAAACATGTCAAAACATAATGATTTAAAATGTACTTTAAAGTAAAACTTAATTTGACATTATTACAAAATGCACTTCTAAAAGTGTACTTTAAGTGTGTTGAGAAGGTCATGAAAGTGTAGTCTCTTTAAGTGCAGTTAAGTGGCATTTATTTCATTTATATTATTGATTTTGTAAATACACTTGTAAGATTTGAAGTACACTACAGGTGCACATTCATTCAGGTGCTTTTCACAAGGGTTTTGCAACAAAGGATTTTCCTAAAAACAAAGCCAAAGTTGTCTGCAGCGCTACATTCAGAGAGCTAGAGAGGGTTTGTGCATGCATGGGGAGAGTTGAAAAGCGTATTAAGAAAACAAATGAACTGTATAAATGTCATGCACCTGTGGTCTCTGATGACTGATCACACACAACGAATACAGGCTTGAGAGAAGAATAAGAGCCAATCATTTCAGATCTAAACCATCTAAAATATTATTGAAATGCCAAATCGAATTAATTCTGACTTAAATTCTCCAGGGAAACACATTTGAATTGTCAAGGAATACAGTGCATGTGTAAATAAGTATGCAAATAATTAAAACGTGAATGAAGTTGAGTTGTGTGGCGCTAGATGGCAGCATAACGTCTGCAGCAGCGCATTGCTTGTCATTCAGTGGCGTGCCCTTCAATAACGCGCTATAACGGGCTCTTCTCCTCCTCAATAAACGACTCTTCCATCATTCAACAAAGACACCAGCTCATCAGTTTAAGTCAGTCGAGGGAAGAACGCATGTGAGATGAAACGTGTTAAATATGTGATCAGGGAAAGGTGACTAGTGTTTTTGTAAATGCCAGTTAAGCTATAAAAGAGCTGTGCGTGCATGAGGCATCCAATCTTGTGAAGTACTCTGCTGTGCCAAGAGTGTAATGGCGATTTGGCTGGATTTTGAGAGATCCTATTGCTCTGACTGCCTAAACAGGATTTCACTTTGGAAACTGATGACCCAGAGCACATTCATTACAGCCTCTTATGTCTAAAGACAAAAAAAGCAATGATGAGCAAATATCTGTGAAAATTCACATGACCTTGCCATTGACTTACATACATTTGATCTGCATCTATTCTATTCTATTCTATTCTATTCTATTCTATTCTATTCCACATTCACTGTCTAATTATAATTTTTCATGCTAAAGCACACTTTGGGTTGGCTATTATCTAGCCTATTTATTGACTGTTATCTATCAACTATCTATCTATCTATCTATCTATCTATCTATCTATCTATCAACTATCTATCTATCTATCTATCTATCTAACTATGCTGAAAAAACTGAGCACAGAAACATTTTTTACTCAGAAAGTAAATTTCACAATCACAAAGAAACAGCAAGTAACACGTTGAATTAAAATTGTTTACAACTTCCAAATAACTCTTTTACAGTAGGCTACACACACACACACACACACACACACACACACACTCT